AAGTACTTTAAAGTGTATAAATAAGTTACCCGGGCAATTGATCTGCATTAGCCAATCAGACGATCTTCCTCCTATGAGTGGTACTATAGTGCCATAAAAATATTCACTAATTTTTAATATATTTGCTTTATTTACTCTTTATTTTATATTGTATTTTTATTTTATAGTAATAAATCTGTATTATAGAATCAAATACAATTTTCTAAAAATAACTTACAAAAAACAAAATGTTTTTGTTGCTTTTTTATATCTTTATTACTTTTACTTTTTGACTCAAGTCTTTTAAAAGACTAAATATTATTTTATATGAGTGTTGCTAAAAAAATCTGAAAATTTAAATATAAGTTATATTTAAATTTTTGGGGTTTCTTTTGGCAACACTCATATTCTTTTTTTCTTAAACTATAAGTTAGGTTTTTTAATAGAATTTGTATTTTCTTGTTTCGATAAGTTTGTATATAAAAAATTAGTAAAGAGTATTTGAATTGATTAGTATAAAAATTATAAAATTTTAATCTAAATTATAATTTAATTTTTATTAAAAAAATAAAATATTTTAAAAATTGGAATTAATTCTATAAAATATATAATAAAAATTTTAAAATTAAAGTTATTAGTATTAAAAAAATTTTAATTTTTTTAAATTCAATATTTTTCATAGGATTTTATTTTTATTTTGACATAATCTACTTAGTTTCCAAAATTCAATTTTTAAATTAGTTACAACCCTATAACCATAAAAAAAACTTGCAAATTATAAAATTTATAAAAAACGTAGTTGCATACATAAGAAATTTATATGTAAAATTAGCGAAATCTGCATATGCATTTCAGATTTTTGATTGCGGAAATTTAAAAATTTGTTGCGGCCCGCAGACTCCGCAACCCAATTTCAGGCATTGAATTCACTTTTCACCATGATCTGTAATATAAAATGTTCTGATTTTAATTTTGAAACCCCAATATATGGAGATGCAGACTCATAGAACGACTTTCATATGATTGGCTGTTTAATTATATTTAATTTTACATTATTTATACAGTTTAAAATCAAAATATCACACAACAAATTTTCATCATATTATCACAAGGAACACGTCAATTAATCATGATAACTTGATCCCTTTCAAATTATATCAAGGAAGCTGCTTGAGAACGCCCCAAATAAAGATTTTTTAAATCTGTTTAATCAACTTTAAAAGTGTTCTCAAACATCTCCCTCAATGTAATTAATTGGCTATTGATCGAGATCGTGCACTTGATCGGAAAAAATATTTTCCATTAATTATTAATTTAAGTGCTTGAGAGCACCTAAATATACTGTATATTTTATTTAATTCGGATCTAAACAATAATCTCAGTAAGTTTTATTCCAAAAAGTTGTAGGAAATAGCTCAGAAATTGAACTATTTTACAACACTAATTATACCTTTTTTACTTCACCAAAGAAAATTTAGAAAATTTTATTATATCGATGGTGAATGCTATGCATTATGTAATGGTTGTCAAGGGTTAAAGTGTTTAGAGGACAGATACGACGCGTGGGTATGGCATCACGTAATATTCAGTAAACTTATTCTATTTATTATACATTATATATCTAAATATGGAAAGCATATGACCATTTCAAAAAGATTTACTGAACATCAATTTTAAATAACCTATCGACTTCCAGTGTTATCTCCCATGTTTGATAATCCATATAGATATCGCATCAAACCGAGGAGTATGATAATGAATTCTTTCTTCTGAGAAGTGAATGTATAAATCTAAAATTATTTTAGTTAGGGGTCTGAATGATACTATTACGTACAAAGATTACAAAGATTAATTCACTTTTCTCCTGAATAAAAAAGTCCCCTTATAATTTTACATGATTAAATTAATATTGTTATGGTTTAATTGCATTTGTAAACAAATCGTACATCTGAAATTGTGTGGTTCCTTACACAGAATAACTTCATGCATCTAAGAACACACCTTAATTGCGGTTACAGGTTTTAAAGAGATATTTAACACCATATGCTGAGCTGCATGTCGATAATTCGGCTAACTGACGTCTAGTGAAACATATATCGAATGATATCTTGTACATGCAGATAAATAAGGTAAATTCATAAGTGCATTTGCTTCCAGTTAAGAAGGACGAACAAGTAGGACAGGCTTTATTTGTGCTAAAATAACTAAATAAATACTCGGTACATTTTTGAGTTGAAGGTATTGGTTTTTCTTTTTGTTTTTTGTTTGCCACGTCACCTTTTCTGTCATTATTCACATGAAGGATTAGTAACGCCCAAAACCGTCTTTAATTTACGTTAATCATAGTTAACGAGTGTTTAGTCCAAGGAAAGGCGGACACGACACAGGTACGTACGTACGTACGTATCTAAAAATATAATATCGGTATATACCATATATATCTTCTATAATAAACCTTCCATATGATATATTTGAATCAATATTTAAAAAAAAAATTTTTTTTTTAATCATTAGAAATCAGAATATTTACAATCCTAATAAATATAATGCATTTATCAGGCCCCACCAGCGTTGATAGTAATTTTGGCAAAGTAGTTCCTACGGTGTCATATGATACTCCTATGGATCCTATCACAAAACCTCGTTCAAGATTATCGGGCGTTATTAAGCCTCCTAAAATCCTAAATCCCAATCTTTACAAAGCATCCAAAGCTTTGGAGTCTGGTCATTACCATGAAGCAAAGGATTGCTTAACACGATTAATTAAATCCTATCCCAATAGCTATTCACTTCGATGTGATAGGGGTCTTGCATCGAGAAAACTTGGTAATTTAACAGAGGCATTACATGATTTTGATTACGCCATTAAAAAAAATTCAGTAAAATCACGTGCCTTATTACTTCGAGGTGAAACGTTTTACTATAAAAAAGACTATGAATCTGCGAAGAATGATTTAAATAAAGGGTTTTCATCATTCAAAGCAGATGACAACATATCAGATCAACTTTTGCTTAGCGCGACTAGAATTTACGGTGAAATAATGGTGTTAGAAGAAAATTATTATGATGCTTTAGATTGTTTTAATAGGGTGTTGAAATCTTCACCATATGATTCGACGACCTTACGAACGCGTGGACAAATAAACATTAAACTTCAAAGATATTTAGACGCTCTTGATGACTTTAATGCTTTTTTAAAAATTGAACCGGACAATCCAGATGTTCTAAATTCAAGGGGTTCCTTGTTTAAAAAACTCGGAAGGTATGACGCGGCGCTAGAGGATTATACAAAAGCAATGAAAGTATCAAAACGAATAGATTTTCAGCTTCTCTTAAACCGGGGAAAAGTCTATCAAGCTCAAGCTCGGTATGAAGAAGCATTAAGGGATTTTAACGAACTTTTAAAGTTAAAGTATTCAGATGTTGCAAGAATTTTTCGAAACCGTGCAAGAGCTTATAGATGTTTGTCACGTTACCAAGAAGCACTCTCGGATTACACTGAGGCGATTAAATTTGATAGAAAAGCTTCGACTTATAGGAAAAGAGCCGAAATCTATCATACTTTATTACAGCCTACTGAAGCTCTATCTGATTTAGATCAAGCATTGATGATCGATCCACTTGATAAATGTGCAGAATCTCTACGTAATCAAGTTTATGCGATATTGAAAAAGTACGATGACGCGTTAGGTGGTTTGAATAAAATATTGAACGATAATCCATTTGATATTACATCACGTGTAAACCGTGGTGAAGTGTTACGTAATATGAAGCAATATACAAATGCATTGATTGATTTAGATTTTGTTGTAAACAATCAACCCAGAAATGTTAATGCTCTGTTGAATCGTGCTAAAGTTTATCGTATGCTTCTGAATTATGATGCTGCGCTGACTGATTTGAATGAGGCGATTGATATTGAGCCGAATAACCCGCGTTTACTTAGAAATCGTGGAAAAATTTTTCTTTTGTTAAATAATTATAAAGCCGCAAGAGATGACTTTGACGCGTCATTAAAATCATTATGGAATGGAAAACCTGAAGGACACGCATCTACCCACAGGCATCGTGGTAGAGCTCTGACAATGCTTAAAGAGTATGGGAAAGCTCTTGCAGATTTTGGAAAATCGCTTTCACTTAAACCACATAATGTCAATGTTTATTGTGATCGAGCAGAAACCTATATTGCGATGGAACATACAAATGAGGCACTTCAGGATCTAAAACAAGCATTGGAGGTCGATGGTCATAATGCGAAAGCATTAGACCTTAGAGCTTCTTTATATGTGAAATTAGGACAGTATCAATTCGCTTTACAAGATTATAACTTAGCGGTCCAATTTAGACCAGAAAGTGACATTTTAATTTTAAGCCATCGGGCAAAAACTCTCCAAATCTCGACAAAGTGGCAGGAATCTCTTGCTGATTGGAATCAAGTATTAAAAATTTCACCGAAAAATGTTGAAGCTTTAGAGAATAGAGCACATCTTCTCTTCAAACTTTTAAGATATGAAGAAGCACTAGTTGATTTAGACAATGCTTTAAGCATAGATCCAACAAATTTCTTTTCACTTTGCATCCGTTCCGAAGTGTATCATGCGATTGAACGTTATGAAGAGGCGTTAGAAGATCTTAATAAAGCACATTCGGCACCAAATTGTGGTAACATGTGTTTTGTACTTATGATGCGTGGGGAAGTGCATCGAGCCTTGGGAAAAAATAAGGAAGCAATGTTAGACTTGAGTAATGCAATAAAGTGCAAGCAAACGAATGAACTAAATACATGGTGTCGAATAAAGGCATACGAACGTCGAGCAGTGCTTTATAGATCTACGGAACAGTATCAAAAAGCGCTTGAAGATTTAAATAAAGTGTTGGAAGCAGATCCAACAAATTTTACTGCGTTATGTGAAAGAAGTATTATTTTAAGAGATATTGTTCGTCGATACGATGAGGCATGGGATGATTTGGAAATGGCTTTTGATATGAAAGAGGAAAATTTTGCAAAAGACTTTGCCGTTAAAGAGTTACTTATTCACGAGGCATAATGTTATTTATATTAGTGATCTAAAATATTTTTATCTAAAATTAACCAATTCAATCATTAACTAAATTTACAAATTTAATAGCATATTCTGGCCTTTTAGACCAGATTTAATACACATGTAAATCAATGCATCTTCTTGTATTTATTTTTTTGCATTCCTTTTGTTTGTTTGTTACTTTGTATTATATTTTGTTTTCTTGTA